CCTTTTCTGACTTCCCCTCAGATTGTACATTCATCAGAGCTTAAAATAGCCAAACTCTCAAGCTGTGTATAAAGCAAAAGATATTGCTTCTAATGTGGTTTTGTTGCAGTTTCAAAACAAAACAAAAATAACACCTCAACCCAAACACCAATTGTTCTTTTTTCCTTAGTGGAACATAAGAGCTTGCTGGGCTACCACTGTAACAGGTAGGAAGCTCAGTAAGCAGCATTCTGCTCAGGCTGCTCAGGAGTCTCTGAATGGCATTGCATTGGCCCTCACAAATACGTAGGTCAACTCCCAGTCTACCTCTTAGTACTTGTTTTTAGAATGTTTCTGAGCTCTTATGGCTGAATTCCCTCTTCTGTTCTTTCTACAAGATGCCAGAGATAGTGATGAATCTCACGTCAGTTATCCTTCTTTTCTTTATGAAATTGAAGTACTGCAGTATAAACTGCATAGGTTGCTTGAGGAGTGAGGGAGTGGTTGTGGCTGAGCACTGGGGCTTTCAACATCATCTGCTACAGTAAGATGGACTGCTGCCAAGCAAGGCAACTGTGTGCTTTCTCTTCCTGGACTCCTCCTTTCAGCCCTTGCACTGCTTTTTGCCACTATAAACAGGTAGGAAACAGCACAGTGATCTACATGGGGGAGTGATCTACATGGGGGAATCGGTTTGCTTTGGATTAAGGTCAAAATATTTTTGTCTACTTTCTGAGTTTGCTCTAATAGAATCAGCTCCCAGCTCCCTGTTCCTCTCTTTTGTAAAGGAGAGAATAGTAGAAGGTGAGAACAAATGGCTCTTTTTAGAGGGACTGATTCTCTCAACAGCAACACCTGATTCAGTTGACTGTAAATGACAGTTTGATTTCCAGCTAGCACAGTTCAACCTGTGCTGTCAGTGCACACAATGGGCTGTTCAGGGAACAGAAGCTGGGCTCAAACAGCCACTAGGGGGTCCTCCCTCCTCTGGCCGGCTGAAAAGGAACTCCGCAGAGTCTGTCTGAAGTTTGTGTTGATGGGAGTTAGCTTGTGTGTCTTGAATACAAAAATCAGAAGTGAGCTTTTATCCCTCAGTACTGATTTTGGCTGATTGTCTTTTAAAAGCTGCTGGTCCAGACTACTTTGGAAGTTTCCAGACAGTAGCTGAGATTCTATAGTGTTCTCCCCCAAGTCAGGCAAAAGAACAACCAGAAGAACTGGAGAAATTCTGCTTCCCTTTACTGCATCCCTGTGATGAGAAGTCATATCTGGCCCTTTTGTGATTCTTGCAGTAATGAATCAGTGACACGTGTGGCAAAGACCTGAGGAAACGGCATTCCACCATGTTTCTCATTCATCTCTCTCCAGCTCTGGTGATGAGCAGTCCCGATACTGAGCAGCACCAGGGCTCCTCTTTCAGCCTCTCAAAGCCAGAGAAGCTGCACGGTGTGTGCAGGGGATTTTCATGCTCCCTCCTGCCTGCGGCCACATTCCAAGAGTGCCATGTTAGCACATGACCTGATCCGGCAGCGAAGATTGACTGGAGAAAGTGAAGGCCTGTCCTGGTAGACTCAGCCCTTCCTCTTGACTGCCTGCAGCAGAGTTGCATCTGTCCTGGGAAAAACAATGGCTTTTAAAAGAGAATATATATATAAACGTAACTACAGACAGTTAAAATTATCTTCTTTGTACCTATTGTCAAAGATCCTATTGTGACTTTTACCAGGCGATGAGAAAATTGCTCATAATCATTCACTGAGGAAAATATATTTCAATAGCTAATGAAATGAATGGAGATGCCTCATCTTATCCCAAATTGAACTCCCATGGAATTTCAATATCTTGTACTGTGTGGCAACTGCATCTGGGCCCCTGTATTTGTTGGAAATAATAGAAGACAAGATATGAGAGGTTCCACCTCAGCAAGGTTAACAAACCTGCTTTGACCTGCAGCAGGAGTTGAGATGAAGAGGAAGATAGTTCTGACTGCTGGAGGGCTTAAGATCTCAATCAGCCCTCACCCCTTTAATTAGCATGAAGCTGTTCAGGAGTTACAGCTTACAGCATTGGGCCATAGAAAGTCACAGGAATAATCAGCCTGCAACTGATCAGGAATTGGGTAAACACTACCCTGGGGCTCCTTGTGGTCACAGATTTGGCATTGCCTAATCTGGCTCTGCAGCATAAGCAGAAAATTATAATGTATTTGGCAACATAATGCAGCAAGATGCAGTACAGTGTCTCACCGAGCTGAAATGTATTTCTCACATATGAGATCATTAAAGGGTTAAACTGAAAGAAAAGCAAAACAAAAACATCTTTTAAAAGGAGGAGGTTTACAGTTCTCTTTCCTAGGATTGAATCTTGACTCTGATATATGTGATTCGGTTTTATCTTAACTGGAGAAAAAAACATTCCTCCTTTGTAGCACCTGTGTTTCATTGCTATAGGAGCCAGGAACGCCTAACATCTCTGAGAACCTTTTCCCCATCCCTGGGCAGAAGTCCATAAATCCTTCTGTGCCTTCAGTTGGTGTGAAATCAGGATATTCCTGAAAGAAAAAAACACTCAGAAAGAAATCGTTCAGGAGGAAGGCTTCAGTTGCATCATGTGACAATATATCAATATTCCACGTGGTATAAATATGAATTTTGAACTTAATATGCTAATGAAAACCATAATAAATAGTCTAAAAATAAGTCCAGTGAAATGATAGCTGAAATAACATGCCCAGACAAACTATCACCAAACAACAAAAAAACAACAGGAAACTCAAGGTGTTTGAGGATTTTTACTGGATTTTGATAGAGTTGGATTAGCCCTTGTATTTGGGCCTTTTTGAGTTACAAGTTTTTCTGAAGTTAGCACGCTTTCTTGAAATGGATAAATGTCAGAGAAATGTTGTGCAGCACAAACATTGCTATCAACATGCATGGACCTTTTCAAATTACATTAATTTATCAACAGTGCAAATGTGCGAATACGATTCAGATGAAAAAAGCATTCTGAAACATAAAGGTTATACCATATTAGTGGCAAATAATTTGATTATCCGAAAGAGGAAAATAAACATATTTATTCCTGAGAGCCACCACATTTGGACAGAAAGTAGATTTCCCAAAAACACTGCTACATGGGCGATTCCCCTTCCTGCCTACTTGCTAGTATACCTGGGGATCGGGGTGAGCTCGCTGTGAATGTATGTAGGTCACTCTGAAAGTAATGCTGCTTACAATGGATACAAAGAGCACAAGGACATTATTTGACAGAGCAAATTCTCAGTTACAATACACTTTTTCAGCATAGTCACCACTGTGAGCTACACATTTTCACCAGCAATGAACAAAAACCTGCATGCTGTGTTCATTTGCACCAGTGGAGGTGACCCACTGTCACCACTGCTGAAGTGCATCACCCAGTGCCTCACTGTGCTCACGTGGTCTTTAGAAATGCTCATCAATGCGTGTCAGTGGGTGCCATGGTGCAACTGAAGGACACACTGTTGCTTCATCCACACTTCCATGTCAGACACCATTCTGTCACACCGCCCCTCTGCTGCCATGTGTCTCACGGCAGCAAAACGGAACGGAATATTGGTGGGAAGGTTCAGCCTCTACTGCCATACTACCAACATCCACCTCTGACGTTGTGGGCCAACATAACAACATAGGAGGCATTACTTTCGGAGCAGCCATTGTAAATACCCAAAGCAAAGCTTTCTCTCTGGTTCAGTGACCCCTTTCATATTTCCTAAGGCTTCCTCAGCTCCCTCCTTCTCTGCCCTGAGCAGACCCTCGTCCCACCCTTCGGGCACTGCGCTGGGGTTACAGAGCCGCCCCGTGAGTCAGCACAGCGCCGGGCACATCACCCAAAGCTCTGCCCTGCGTCTCAGCTCGGGGTTGCCGGAACGGCCGGGCCGCTGGGAGGGGATCGTTGTTACACCGCAGAGGAAGAGGCAAAGCGACAGAGCCAGGAACGAGCCTTGGGGCTGTGTGATTTATGCCGGAGTGAGACACAAAGATGGGGAAAAAGGTACTTGGGCGGTGAGACCATAAGTAGTGCAGGCGGAGATGTGCTTCACCTGAGCCCAAGCCGAGGAGCTGCAGAGCCCGAAAAGGGAACGCCGGGAGATGCTGCTGGCTGCTCCCTTCGGCAATAAAAAAGAAATAGCTGCTGTCGAAACTTACGTGTAAGTTCTTACAGACACTTCCAAGTGCTTGAAGAAGTTCTACGGGAACTTCTATTTCATTTCTATTTACCGGAACATTTTATTTTTTTTTTTCTGCAAGAGACGTACGCCTTTCTCCCGAGCAAGCACTGCAGAAGGTTTAAGAGAACCCTCTTCCCCGGAACGCAACACCCCACGGCCTCCGCAGTCCGCGCCACCGGACCCCCTCGCACGCGACTCCGCCTGCTGCCAAACCGCCGCCGGGTCGCTCAACGGGCGCATCCCGCGCGGGGCCGGAGAAGTGGAGCTGCGCCTTTACGGCGGCGGCGCGGCCCATGCGGGAGGTGGAGGCAGAGCTGCGGGCGGGGCGGTCGCTGCGGGTGTGTCCTGCGCTCTCCCACCCCTGTGCCGTGGGCTGGGCGGGCGGGGAGGAGGGGACGGGCCGGAGGAGGAGGAGGAGGAAGCGGAGGCGGCCGCGGATAGCGGGCAAATGGGGAGCTGAGCGGCTGCAGCAGTACCGCGCAGCAGCGGCAGCAGCAGCAGCAGCAGCGAGAGCAGCCGGCGACGGGTCCGTGCTGGCGGGGGTGCGCCGGGAGCGGGGCGCAGGCACCGGCGCCGCCGGGCGCGCAGCGGGAGTGCGGACCGGGCTGGGCTGTGGGGCTGGCAGCGGGCTGGGCTGGGGCTGCAGGCAGCTGCTCCCCGGGTAGCACCGCGCTGCGCCCGTGAGGCCGGGCCTGCGGGGCTGCGGCCGGCTCAGCGCGGTGGGGATCGTCGTCTGATTTCTTTTTATTTTTCATTTTTAAAGCCGTCGCTCCCCAGACGCCGAGCGCCAACTGCAGCCGGGCTGCCCCGGGCCGATCCGCCCCGCGAGCGGGCGCCCGCCGCCTCCCGGAGAGGCACCATGCAGACCTTCCTCAAGGGGAAGCGGGTGGGCTACTGGCTGAGCGAGAAGAAGATCAGGAAGCTCAATTTCCAGGCCTTCGCCGAGCTGTGCCGGTAAGGAGGCGGCCGTGGCCTGCGCGCGCCCCGGCGTTCCGCGCTCCGCGCGCGATCCCCGCAGCCCGGCGGGCGGGGCCGGTGCCCGCGCGAGGCTCGGCCGGCCGTGCCGTGGGCTCACCTGGGCGGCGGGCGGGCTGCGCATCTCGGTTGGGCGCCCGCAGACCTCGCTGAGGCTCGAGGCTGACTGGGAATAACTTGCCTTCGTGTCGTGCTAAATTACGTAAAGCAGCGCGTCTGAACCCGAGAGGGGAGCCCCGACTCGGAGATGATGGAGCCGCGTCCGTGTTCTTTGCTCCCTGGGCAGTTTGATAGGCTGCCATTAGGTGTTATCGGGATAGTTCAGAGGATTGTAAATGCAGTATATTGCGCAGTCAATTTGTTTAATTGTAAATGTAAACTTTATGTAAGTCCAAGGTCTCATTACACATTGCATGAGACTGAGTAACAGCTCTTTATTTCTTGCTGTTACCACTGTTTTATATAGAATATGGAATAAACTTTGATAGTGTTTGAACTTCAAAAGTATTGTAAGTAATCATTGTTCCTGTAGTTTCTGCAAAGCGTGTTCAAGCCTTGCAGGACACATTTTATGAAACTTTGGGTATGCTTTATTGAAGTATGCCATGCTGAAACCAGCAATCCCAGTGTACTGATATGCCTTTGGCGGCACTGGCTGTAAGGAGAAAGGAGGCAGAAAAAAGAAACAGAAAACTATTTGGAGAAAGCAGCAGAAGCCTTTACACCAGCTGGCGTTCTTGACATTCTCTATCTGCTCTGTCAAACTTCAGCAGAACTACCGGCATCTTTTAAAGTACAGAAACAGCCTCAAGCTCTGGTTTAATTTCTTTTAAAATTTTGTGGCCTTCTCAAGCAAAATACTTCCAGATGAATGATAAGTTTTGAGTCTGCTTAAGAGATTCTTTGTTTATTTCTTTTGTGTTGCTCAAAAAATACAATTCAATAATTGTAAGGCAAATGTTATTTTCAGGGCTGATATTTGATGTAGTTTGGCTTTTCCGGAACAGAAACTCAGAGGAATCTTAGAAAATGCATAACCGCTTTCTCCTTGTGATTTGTTTTTCGTTTCTGGTATCGTATGCTGTGCTTCACATTTAAGGATCTCCAAAGATGACTTTCTGCCCTCCGCTGGTCTCATTTCTCTCCTGACTGTGTTATTTGCCTCATTTTCACTACTTCAGAAATGCCTCGCATTTGTCTTTCATAACGTAGTACGCAAAGAGATTGTGTATCTGTGTATATTTATCAACTGTTCTAAGTCCTGGTAGTGCTATGAAAATGGACCTTCAAGTTTTCTCTCTTGCTGCGCTTCCCTAATTTTGTAATGAAGATTAGTCTGCCTGCCTCCCTCTGTACAAGTGAAGTTTGCCTTGAATAGCATTTGCAGAGGTTGGATAGATACATCCATTCAGTCATGCCTCAATTATTTTTTTTTAAAAACATAGTGTTAGCCTATTTGTAGAAGTGAGGTTTAAACATCAGTGCTGCTGCTGGAGCCAGTTGCTCAGAAATCTTGGACGATCTGTTTTCCATCCTGATAACTTCTATTGGTAGTGGTGGTAGGCTACATTTGTTTAGGCAAAGGCTTCAAGTATTTAATGCATAATATCTATTAGATTGCCTGTGTACTTCTGTGATTTTGTTGCTGCAGGAAAAGTAGTGCCAAGCTCAACATACATCTTACCAGGAATATTGTGCACGGTAGGAAATACGGCGAGCATACTCATTCCTTCACAGTGATTCATGTGTTAGAGTGGACTATGTGTCTGTCTGTCTACTGTATGTATTTTATGGTGGCTGTTTCTTGGAATTTATTTTCCTGTTGCCTAGGGATATACTTTCTGGATAACTAAAAAGTTCAGCTTTGTTTGCATGGCTTTGCAACGAAGCTGTTCTGTAACCCAGGAAAGTAACAGAAAGATGCCTGATGAACTCCTGGAACGTGCTGGTTTTAGAGCAGGAGTGTTGTTTCAATAAGAAAAATCTTACATTCCTTGCAGCCTGCCAGTGCAGCCAATACCAGTGTAAGGCACCAGGCCCATAGAGGGATCGGGGCATTTCAGAATCAGTTTGAGCCATACTTTGGGAGATGGTCTAAGTGCTGAACTGCTTTGGTCAGAGTGGTTTCAAGCTGCGTCTCCAGCAGCATTCCAGAGCTGAGATGTCTCAGTTGTACTACTTGAAGTGAGATGTGAGAGTGAATGGGACAGCAGTCAGGTGCTGCTCGGGGGCATAGCCATCCTGTCTTCAGGTCTGCGCTCCACAAAGGCTGGGCAGGTCCCCATAAATACTGTCCTTGTATTCTTATCCAGTATTGAGTGCAACTTTGGCTGAGTTTCAGTAAGGTTCCCTGTGAAATTTTTCCATCTAAATTCTTCCAAGAGGTTTTGTGGCTGTAGAAAGGATAGACACCTCCTTTATTATTTTTTTTGAAAATTTTTGTTTGGAGAGACAAAGTTCTGATCATTCATGTGTCTGGATCAGCCCCTCTCCTGCCTGAACTCAGTTTGGTACTTTTGCTTAAATCTTGCATTCACAAGACCTGGTATTGAAGGCCTTCAAGTTCCCTTGCACTGTGATCCCATTGTGATCATTGTGACATGACTGTGGCACAGTGCAGTCCTGCCTTCAGGGATCGTAGCAGCTTCTCAGCTGTAGACCAAGGAGGTAAAAACAGTGGCTGTGTGTATCTACCTCCACACTCATAGCCCAGACAGCGGCTCCCAAATTAAGTTATGTCCCACTGCAATTCTGATGCTTCCACAGCCCCAGGGTTGTGCTCAGAGAGTGGCTTAACGAAGGATGGAGCCCTTGCCTGTGGGATGCCTGGTGGGGTCATGCCTTTGGTTGTGGTTTCTGCTTCTCACATTAGTTTTCAGTTCCACCTGCCAACTGCTTTCTGCATGTCCGTGCAGAAAGGATCCCGTGTTCCTTGGTGTACACTGGTGTGGTTTCAGTAGGGAGCAGTATGCCCCTGTTGGCCTTGTCAATATGAGGATGTTCCCCTGGGAGCTGCAGTATGAGACTGAGCTCCTGTATGTGGAGAAGGGCACTTGGCGTGGGCTCCTTATTGCCTCCTTCAGTTTGTTACCCACGAGATTATTAAAGAAGCTGTTGCTGCTGCCAAGCTGACTTGTACTTTTCTGTGAGAGCTGTTGGATCACCATGTCTTATATTGAGGTCAGTATCACCTGCGTGCTAGTGTACGTGCTGCAGCTGTATGGCCAGTGCCTGCTCTGGGAATGTAGTGTGTGCTTTCCTTGGGGTCATGGAGTCCAGCTCCTCCAGGTGTGGCTGAGATCCAGAGCTTTAGGTAACTGCTATTGTTAAAATACCGGTATCTGTGGCCTGCTGAACATCTGCAATCCTGCTAAAAAGTCAGACAAAGTTTCTTTGGATTGCTAACTGGTGAGTGAATAACCCTATTTTCTGCCTGTAAAATATGTGTAGATGTACTGCCATTCCTCTTTGGGTGTTGTGAGTAAGGAGTCTTGTGTTCGTGCAATATACAGAAGGGCAGTGGTAGTGGTACGGCAAATTGTGTCTATCAGCTCAAAAAATGAGTTGTGTGTGTTAGGCACCAGCTCAGATTAGTGAGGTGTGGCTGTTTACAAGTGGCTGTTGTCTCTATAAAAGCCATTTCCTTGATGGTAGTTCTGCATGTCATCTTAATATTGGCTCTTGGAGAGCCATGAAGATGTGAGGCAATAAGGTTATGGTTATGTGAGTAAGTTGCAATGATAAAAGGTGAAATACCCAAGAGGAAATAATTCAGAGTCATCCCATTATTCAAAAGCTGCTTCTCATTTATATTGGGTAAAAAACCATTCAGTAGTGCAACTCATAAGTTCACATGGTAGTGTGGTAGCTTTTTTGTGTAACTGTTTAGATAGTGTGTCAGTTTTTATAGCATGCAGAAGATGTTGAGCAAAGGAATTGAGGAGTTGCCCAAGGTTGTAATTTGTCACAATACATCCTGCAGTTTGAGAGACAGCAAAACTGTGCTTGTTCGTCTTAATGTCCACATAATTTATGGTCAGATTTTATTGCACTGTGTTTTTCCCATAAAAGATCAGAAGCCTGAGAGGAACAATTTCTCTGGGAATCCTGTAAGTTCTGAGATGCAAATTTTGCCCACCAAAGGAAGTAACGTAAGCAAAATAATACAGAATGCCTTATGGTGAAGATTTGTTGCCTTGGTCTTTAGTGAACAAGTCCAGTTGTCATCCTTCCTTGAGAAATTGTTCATGATTGCATTCATTAACGCACATAAAAGTAAGGCTACTGATCTGGTTTAGGTGCTACCTACTGCTGAAATCTGCTCTAGAACTTGAGCGCACTCTCGAGCTACTTTATGCATCAGTTCAGTGGTTCTTGGTTTTACACAAAGAAGTGTACTTTGCTTTGTGCATGTAACTCTTGTTAGAGCCTGTGTCACCTGTGCTGAAGGCTGTGTGGGTATGACAGGTCACTATGGTTTTTCTGGTTTTTATTTTGTCGTTGAGTTGTATTGAAACTATTTTGGTGCAGCTACATGATCAATGTGCTGAGCCAATGAATTTTCAAGCCAATGTATTTTTCATACCAAAACATTAGTGTGCTTAATTTAAGTTTTCGTGCGACTTGCTCTTGTTTAGTTAATCAGTGCCATAAGTGGGTAAATGCTTCAGTCTGCACGTTAAGTCTCTATGGCTCACTTTTTCTCCTCTAGACTCTGTAATGTAGTCCCTTGTTTGCTGTGATCTGTTCTCAAGAACCTAGACATGAGTTTTAAGATGCATTTAAGAATTGTGCTGGTCTGAAGACTTTAAATTTAATCTGTTTCTTTATTGGAGACCTTGAAGTATGTGTCTATATATGTCTATCTATCTTTTTTTCTCCCTGCCCCAGAAGAACTTAGGGGATTTTATTTAACCCCAGTTTGCCGCAACCACTTAAATATAGGCATCTGTTGAATATCTGGCTTGTGCCAGTTAACT